CAAAAAAGACCGATCAATTTTATTTACTTTATTTTCTTAATTTAATTCACACCGATGGAAAGCACGTGCTTAACCTATGTGGCCCGCTTTAATTTTGTGTGCTAGTCTCACACATACATTTACAAAATGCCATCCTCTCACCGTGTGCATCACTGGTCTAAACGCAACCAGAGAGTCACGAGTCAGCGTCATACCTTTTCGCCGGCGTGAAAACCAAACGAAAGAGTTGGCGGCTAGCCTCACAAAATGTCAATTATTTGTTTTCAGTTTTTGACAGAGTATTATACGTTGTGCATAACAAATTCAATTTCTTCAACAATTTCAAGAATTTGAAAAATTATTGAAAAAAATATTTTTCTTCCATTTTAGATTCCAATGTTATAAAATTATCATTAAAATTTGGTAGCACTGCTGATTTTTACCTAAAATATGGCAACTCAGTTGAGAGCAAGAGAGAAAATTTGAGTATGACGCTGAGCAAAAATGAATTAAATCTATTCTAGCGTCAAGCCGCTAGACGCGAACGTCAGCCGTCGCGATTTCCCGTTGCCAATAAGAAACAAACGGCAAACGACTGTCGCTGACTCTAGACTCTATGGTTGCGTTTAGATTCTATGGGGTTTTTTGAATAATTAAAAAAAATCCACGTATTTTTTTTAATTTTGGCATATAGTAGCTCAAAAAAATCGCTTATAGCTGATCTCACAAAAAATGTCTCCTTAAAAAGCTTTCCTTAAAAAAAATCATGCTCTTCAATATATCATTGATATTGAAAAGCATGCCCGCTTTAAAAACAACTATTTAAAATCCAAAACTTTATTGAACTTGCAAAAAATATATATATATTTATTAACTAAACATTTGAATTGGCAAATATTTAAATGTGTCAACATTTGATCGCATAACCGGTTAAACTGGAAAAAAGTGTTTTCTATTTCGGGACAAAATTTTATGTCACCCATTCGCCCAAAAAATTCCTCTATTTAATTAAGAAAACATATTAACAATTATATTCTCAGCTGATACAATTCTTCTTATTTATTTGTGTGTTCTTGTTTCAATTAAAACAAATACTATCCACACGTGATCGAATATTATCCAAACCAAGCGGGAACCAAATAACATATTTTGCAAAATTTCCATTCTATTTACATTTCCTCTTTTAATAATGACGAAGGAACGAACGAACGACGGAATGAACAAACGAACGATGCAACGAAACAATTATGATGCTAATTTCGTCGTATAAACGACTTAACGACGTTCTCCGTCTTTAATTAAACAAATAATTAATAATAAACAAAAATGAATTAATTTCTGTGCAAATAAGTTGACAAAATGTCTGTGTGTGTGTATTTTGTTTCTCCGATTCGATCCGATCCTCTTGTTTGTATTCTGCAAACGAATTGTCATTTATTTGTTTGTTCAGGTTTTGTCGGCCGCCAGGTTTACAGCCAAGGCAAGATGCTGCTGACAATAACAGGCGGCATAACTTCCAGATCAACAAACAAATAAATTTCTTATTTGTTGTTGGTATTATTTACTTTGTCGTTTTTTTTTTTGTAATATAGTTTATCTTGTATTAACGGCAGCCATATAGAATGTTTTTGTGGAATAACTTTATACCAATAATGGATATAACCTTGCCCGAAATGATTCCTTGGCAAGTGTCCTTGGACTACTATTTGGAATTCTTTAACCAAATCGAAGTGACTTCTAGAAAAGAAAAAAACATTTTAAAAATAAAGACTAAAATTTGGTCCCCCAAAAATGAACTGTAACCCGCATTTAGGCCTAGCCCCTGTGTGGGAGGTACCAGAAGGAGTGGACCGATATTCCCTATGTTCGAACTTGAACAAATTTTGGAAGAAATAAAAAGATGGGCAAAGTTTGGAAGAAATCAAAAATTTTTTAATTGAATAAAATACAGGTCGCATTTATGATTCGATTTGGATAAAATTTGGCATAGGTCACTTATTTGGCCCAAGGACGAACCCTATTGAAATTGAAGAAAATCGGTTCAGATTTGCATGAAATTTGGCATTTGGAGTTCTGAATTTGCACGAAATTTGGCATAACGTACTGAATTGAGCCTAGAATGATGATTGTCAAGTTTCGTGAAAATCGATCCAGATTTAGATATAGCTCCCATGCAAATGGTGCACCAAAGTCCCTATATATCTTTCGATTTGGACGAAATTTAGCACAACGTACTGAAATGAGCCTAGAATGATGTCTGCCAAGTTTCGGTCCAAATTTAGATATAGCTCACATATATAGTCCGATTTAATGTAAATGGTACACCAAAGTCCCTATATATATATATATATATATATTTCAATTTGCACGAAATTTGGCATAACGTACTGAATTGAACCTAGAGTGATGTCTGCCAAGTTTCGTGAAAATCGGTTCAGATTTAGATATAGCTCCCATATATATTTTTGTCCGATTTTAGGTAAATGGTGCACCAAATTCAATTAGTATCATTCGATTTGCACGAGATTTGGCACAGCGTAATGAATTAGGTACAGAATGATGTGTGTTAAGTTTCCTGAAAATCGGTTTAGATTTAGATATAGCTCCCACATATATTTTCGTCCAATTTAATTTAAATGGTGCACCAAAGTCCCTATATATCCTTTGATTTGCACGAAATTTGGCACAGCGTAATGAATTAAGTCTAGAATGATGTGTGTCAAGTTTCCTGAACATCGGTCCAGATTTAGATATAGCTCCCATATATAGTCTCGTCCGATTTTATGTAAATGGTGCACCAAAGTCCCTATATGTCTTTTGATTTGTACGAAATTTGGCACAGCGTAATGAATCAGGCCTAGAATGATGTGTGTTAAGTTTCCTGAAAATCGGTTCAGATTTAGATATAGCTCCCATATATAGTATCGCCCGATTTTATGTAAATGGTGCACCAAAGTCCCTTAGTTATTTTCGATTTGCACAAAATTTGGCATAGCGTACTGAAAGCTCAAGAATTTTTTTTTTTTAATTAAAGGACTAGACTAGACCCACCTTTAGGTATACCGATCGTCATATCTCGACTATCTGAGTCGATCTAGACATGTGTGTCCGTCCGTCTGTCCATTATAATTTCTAAATACGATACAGGCCAATCTTCACGAAATTTTGCATGTAGGATGGGTTCTGTCCAATGAAGACCCCTGGTCGCTCCAGAGGCCGCAATTATGACCCAAACATCGCGAATTTTCAAATGGATAAGGGGATCGGGCCAAGGAATAAGTATGCATGTTTTGATAAAGATTGGTCAATATTTAGCGGGTTAAATGGACCCTAACTTTTGTGTGAAAAATGACAAAATATAGCATATATATTTACCCCTGAAGGACATAGACCCGAGAAGTTGATAGTATATCCAAGGGGAGTGGTTGACCTTTAAATTGATAACAATTATATTAAAGTAAGTACTCGGATGTTGGGGTTACACTTAAATATATACAGGCGCTTACGTATTCATATATTATTTAGAAACTAATTACCACAAATATAGCGCTGATCGCTCTGAAATTTTCCATAAGGATCCAGGTATGGTCAAGGACAATGCCTATAATTTTCGATGATTATCAGATAATAATTTTGGGATGAAGTGGACCGAAAACTTAAATTTTTGTGTTTTTCTAATCGTGTTGAAGGGAATCTGGACAAGCAATTATAAGGAATGTTCTGAATATTAATAATATTTGTTGTCTGAGCCCAAGCTCAGAATATAGAACCACAGAAAGATATATTTTCGTGGAAGTTATGTAGGGTATTATATGGTCGGCCCCGTCCGACTATACTGCTCCGCTCACTGGTTTATATATATTTAAAAAGTGTTTTATTTCGATCTTTTATATTTGATATTTCCAGAAGACACTCGATGGTCTTCTGGATTTTTTTTTTAATTCAATCTTCTGCAAGAAAATGTGTGTTAGAAAATATTATAAAGCTTCTCCTCCTCCTACATTTTCAAACAGTCATCTTAATTACGATATCACATCTTAAAATACATGACGCCATTTTTTTTATTTTTTATTTTTTTTTCAAAATTCAAAACACTTGTTTCCACATCCAACGAATTATCCACATGTTTCGTTTAATATAATTATTTACAATGCACTAATTGTAGAATATTTATGCAATACCTCAGTTAAAATTACGTGACTACGAATACAGCGACAACAACAAACCAACAAAACATGTGCTTTGAAAGCCATAACAAAATATTGAGAATATTCCGAATAATGGATTAGTTATATGGACTATATTTTGTTCTAAATGGCAATTAAAATTCCAAAACAATAAGAAAACGAAAACAAAATATTGGTCAAGATTCATTTTTTGGTTTGGAACCTACATCACTACATGGCGATGGGAAAGATGTAAAATCCAGTAAATGGTTAATGTATTGTTCAGTGGGCTCTAGAAAATTATATATTTGTTTTTAATATTTAAACCACGTCGTTAAATCCTGCCAAACTAGTGGTCGAAATTCCAATTAGCTATCGGATCTGTTCGGAACTTGTATATGGGGACATCAAAATCCCCTTTTTGTCCACCCAGATCCCAAAAAGCCAAATTAAAATACCCATAAAGGAGCAGTCCTCTTATATGGGGGAACATAGTAATTTTGGGTAAAAAGATTTGCCCAATGGGAAGCTAAAATATTTAATTATAGCCAAATCGTTAGGATCGATGGGAACCTAAAACATTAAATTAATGCCAAATCGTTGGGTATCGAACAATATAAACTATTTTTTCAAAAAGCCAACAGAATGGTGTTTTCAGTAATATTCTTCAAGAAGCATAACCTCAATATTTTTGATATTGTATTCCTCTGTTTTCGGTATTTTGAAATAATGTATCAAATTTTTAAACGATCCTTCCTTGGGATCTTGATTTAGGTTCAATTTTTGTTCTTATTTTATTTTCCTTTTCCATCCTATCCTTTCCTTTCTAATTGTCTTCATTTTCTTGTTTTACAGAGCGCTTGGAAGCAGCACAGTGGACGAGGAATGCCCGCCACTAGAAAATGCCACAACCTTGCAGCCCTCACAGTTAATAACTCGTCTGACACATGTCTGTCGATATGATCGTCTAGAAAGACCTATTGGTAAGAAAAAAAGCAAAGCGATTACAAAATTAAACTCTAAAATTAAAACTCACTTCTTCTTCTTCTTCTTTTCAGAATATGATCTAGTCACCAAAGAGCGTTATCCCACCCGGGTCAATGCCCGTATATACATATACTATATGCAGAATCTCAACTCGGATTTATTACAATTCAAAATGCATGCACTGCTGCAGCTAAGTTTCCTCGACAAACGGTTGGCCTTCTCCAATTATGCCCCCACGCGCAAGGATAACATTTTGGGCCAGAAACAAATGAGCGAACGTTTGTGGTTGCCACACATTTTCTTTGCCAATGAACGTGAATCGAATATCTTGGGTACCGACGAAAAAGATGTTCTTGTCTCCATATCTCCTCAGGGTCAGGTGATATTCTCAACACGACTGCAGGCCACACTCTATTGTTGGATGAATTTCAAAAAATTCCCATTCGATGAGCAATCGTGTTCGACAGTTCTTGAAAGCTGTAGGTGGAATGAACCTTTTTGTTGTTGTTTTTTATTATATTAAATTAATTAATTAATTTTCGTTATGTATTTGTTGTTACCTTCCAGGGATGTACAATACAACGGAACTGATATTGCATTGGGAAGATAAAACACCGATATCATTCGATCCCGATATGCGCCTAACCGAATACAACATGCAGCGTTATTGGTACAACGAGACGGTAGTCAATTCGAATGACATCCACTTACGTCATGGGGCTTTCTGTAAGTACAGACAAAAATAATAATATCAACAACAACAGAAAATTTAAAGAAATATATAAATATTAATAAAAATAGATAAGGGTTAAAGACGGAAGAAAGAGTAACAAAAAATTAATTAATTTTTATTAAAAATTAATAATGATTTAAATATTGGAAACGCGACAATGAAAACGATTTCTCAGAAATGATAATATCACATTAAAGCTAATTCGATTCGAATTCGTTTTCAAAATCGCAAAAAAATGAATGGCAATCGAATGGACCGTATCGCTATGTGGGGGCTATAACGTATTGTGAACTCATATTGATAATATAACTATAACGAATTGTGAACTTATGTTGATAATATTTTGTAGGAAGATTTGCCAACTAGTCAGAACCCAGAATGTCAGACGATAATCTCTTCGTTTGGAAAATATTTTCTAAATGTTCACAATACGGAGGTATCTTTATATGGAACCTTTAATAAAAACTGGACGAATATTGATTATTTTGGGCATACATATTCCCTATCTAATCGGAACAAATTACATTCTAATCATTTGGATTGTAAATAACATAGAAAATCCTTAAATCAAATCGACAATTGCAGTATAGCATTATATACAACGCTGTTCCTAAAGCTGAACCCGATCTGACATTTTATTGCATGGAATATTTTCTACTATCTAGGAACTTAAAATTAACGGCATTATCCATCCGAACCACGAACCACCAAGAACCACGCCTTGAGTTCTCTAAAAATTCATCCGAAATTAATTTCAAGAACCACGTCTTGAGTCCTCTAAAAATTCTTCTGAAATTCATTTAAATAAGCACGCCTTGAGTCCTCTAAAAATTCTTTGGAAATTCATTTAAAGAACCACCCCTTGAGTCCTCTAAAATTTTTTCTGAAATTACTTTAAAGAATCACGCCTTGAGTCCTCTAAAAATTCTTCTGAAATTCATTTAAAGAACCACGCCTTGAGTCCTCTAAAAATTCTTCTGAAATTCATTTAAAGAAGCACGCCTTGAGTCCTCTAAAAATTCTTTTGAAATTACTTTAAAGAACCACGTCTTGAGTCCTCTAAAAATTCTTTTGAAATCCATTTAAAGAACCATGCCTTGAGTCCTTTAAAAATTCTTCTGAAATTCATTTAAATAACCACGCATTGAGACCTCTAAAAATTCGTCTGAAATTCATATAAAGAACCACGCCTTGAGTCCTCTAAAAATTCTTCTGAAATTCATTTAAAGAACCACGCCTTGAGTCCTCTAAAAATTCTTCTGAAATTTATTTAAAAAATTCAGCTTTAAGTCCTCTAAACATTCTTTCGAAATCCACGCCTTGAGTCCTCTAAAAATTCTTCCGAAATTAATTTCAAGAACCACGCCTTGAGTCCTCTAAAAATTATTCTGAAAATCATTTAAGGAACTACGCCTTGAGTCCTCTAAAAATTCTTCTGAAATTCATTTAAAAAATTCAGATTTAAGTCCTCTAAACATTCTTTTGAAAACCACGTCTTGAGTCCTCTAAAAATTCTTCTGAAATTCATTTAAAGAACCACGCTTTGAGCTCTCTAAAAATTCTTCTGAAATTCATTTAAATAATTCAGCTTTGAGTCCTCTAAAAATTCTTCTGAAATTCACTTAAAGAACCACGCTTTGAGTCCTCTAAAAATGCTTCTGAAATTCATTTAAAGAATTCAGCTTTGAGACCTCTATATATTCTTGAAGAATTTTGTTTAAAAATCCACGCCCTGAATCCTATTAAAATTCTTCGGATATTTATTTAAAAATCTACGCCTTAAGTTCACAGAATATTATTCCGAAATACTTATAATAGTCTACGCTCTGAGTCCACTAAATATTCTTCTCAAATTCTCCACGCCTTATAAAAGTATACGTTTGAGTCCACTGATTATTATTAGGATATTCTTTAAAAAAATCAGGCTTTGAAATTCTTATAAAAGTCCACTGATTATTCTTCTGAAATTCTTATAAAAGTCCATGCTTCGAGTTCACTTAATATTCATTAAAAAACAACCCATGAGTCCTAAAAATTCACACCATGAGTCCACTGAATACTTTTCAGATTAGGTTTTCAGAATATCCTTCTAAATTCGTAAAAATATTCTAACATTGAATCCTCTAAATATTCTTCTAAAATTCATTTAAAAATCTACGCCTTGAGTCCTCTGAATGTTCATCTAAAATTTATTTAAAAGTCCTCATCTGAGTAATCTGAATATACTTCTAAAATTCTTTTAAAAAAAATTCACTCTTTTTAAAGAAGTTACAACCCATACTGAAATCGTCCACCAAATTATTCAAGCCTTCCGCCTCTAAATTTAAAATGAGACCTCTTCTTCTTATTCTTCTTAAAATTTGACATTTGTTTTTGTTTTTTTTTCTTTTCAGATGGCAACTACAGTTCCCTGAGTTTTACCGTCCACCTGAATCGTGAAATTGGTTTTTATTTAATGGATTACTTTTTACCCTCAATGATGATTGTGGCCATATCCTGGGTATCATTTTGGTTGCAGGCCGATGCATCGCCACCACGTATTATGTTGGGTAAGACGAAACTAATTTCAAATAATTTCTAAAGATGCCGTTCTCTAACCTTCCTTTCCCTCCTTTCCCCTTACAGGTACCAGTACCATGTTATCATTCATCACTCTGTCATCCTCACAAAGTAAAACCCTGCCCAAAGTCAGTTACATAAAAGTATCTGAAGTTTGGTTTTTGGGTTGTACTTTCTTCATTTTCGGCAGTTTGGTGGAATTTGCCTTTGTCAATACGATTTGGAGGCGTAAGGAAAATATCGAATTGAAAAAAGTCAACAGTAAATATATTATCAAATCGACACTGACACCCAGGCCGGCACGCCGTGAAATTGGGTTGAATAATCAATCGAGGACACGTTCATGTTCCAGTTTGGATAATATTGTGTCGAGTACGGAAAGTGTTATGAACGGGAATGTTAATCCGGGTTTCAATAATTATTTGACAGTGCATGTAAGTAGAAATAAATAAACAAATTAAAACAGATTTGTGTAGATGATTCTCTACAAAACATTTGTATATGCCGGGAGCAAACATATTGTAACACCATCAGATTACATTATCATAAATATTTTGTCATTGTCATGTTTGCAATTTGTTAATATACACAATACATTAAAATTAAAATAATACATTATAGTTTTAAGTGGCCGATATATGTATAGAAATTTTATTGTTAATGCGTTATATGTTTTTTTTATAAGTCTCAATAAACTTAACTTAACTTAACTAAAAAATATTTCCAATTGCTTACAGAATTTACCCATAATAACAACCCAATCGGCGGATACCGTTTCCATTGCCAGCAATCCGAATAGCACCGGCCATGTCATCAACATGGACGACAACAATAAGGATAACAAGACTGGTGAAAATACCACCTTTACCACCATGACACCACAAGAAATTGCCATGTGGATAGATCGACGATCCCGATTCCTATTTCCCCTAACGTTCCTTGGTTTCAATTGCCTATATTGGACCTTTGTTTATTGTTTCTAGAAAAAAAGAATGAATTGCCATTTGTTTATGGGTTTAAGGAAAGATAAAATAATCCAAAACAAAAAAGAAAACGACTAAGTCCATTTTATAAAATAAGTATTTTTCTCTTACAACGTTATGTTTTATTGTTGTTATTATATATTGCTCGATTATATTAGTCCTTATAGAAAAAAAAGAAACAAACTACATACATATGTATATGTATTGTCCATATAAGCATTTTGTACATTATATATTGTTATCTCATCTCAATTTGTATATTTTGTATTGGTAATCAAAAAGATGACAGTTTTGTCAGTTGACATTTTATTTTTAATTTGTGCCTTATATATATTTTAATTAGTGTTTTAGAAAATTAATCAGATGTGTTTTAATAAAAGTATTATATTGAGAATTTGAAAAAAGAAATAGTCTAAAATTTATTTAAAAATTCACTCCTAATTATTCTTTTAAAACGAATTAAAATATCCACGCCTTGAGGCCCTAATTATTCTTTTAAATTAAAAAAAATCACGCCTTGAGGCCCTAATTATTCTTTTAAATTAAAAAAAAAACACGCCTTGAGGCCCAAATTATTCATCTGAAATCAATTAAAAAATTAACGCCTTGAGGCCCTAATTATTCTTTTAAATTAAAAAAACACGCCTTGAGGCCCAAATTATTCATCTGAAATCAATTAAAAAATCCACGCCTTGAGGCCCTAATTATTCTTCTGAAATGAATTAAAAAATTAACGCCTTGAGGCCCAAATAATTCTTCTAAAATGAATTAAAAAAGTCAACTCCTTGAGGCCCTAATTATTCTTCTGAAATGAATTAAAAAATTAACGCCTTGAGGCCCTAATTATTCTTCTAAAATGAATTAAAAAAGTCAACTCCTTGAGGCCCTAATTATTCTTCTAAAATCAATTAAAAAATCCACGCCATGAGACCCTTATTATTCTTCTGAAATGAATTAAAAAATTAACGCCTCGAGGCCCTAATTATTTTTCTAAAATGAATTTAAAAATCCACGCCTTGAGGCCCTAATTATTCTTCTAAAATCCACGCCTTGAAGCCCTAATTATTGTTCTAAAATGAATTTAAAAATCCACGCCTTGAGACCCTAATAATTCTTCTAAAATCAATTAAAAAATCCACGCCTGGACTAAAATCAATTAAAAATCCGCGCCTTGAGGCCCTAATTATTCTTGTAAAATCAATTAAAAAAATCCACGCCTTGAGGCCCTAATTATTCTTTTAAATCGAATTAAAAAATCAATGCCATGAACCCTCTGAATTCTAAAATTCATTTAAAAATCCATGAATTGTCCTCTAAATATGGTTCTAAAATACAACTAAAAATCCACACCTTGAGTCCTTTAAATATATTTTTTTTAATTCATTTTTAAATACACGCCTTGGATTGTCTAATTATTCTTTTAAAATTCATTAAAAAATCCACGCTTTATGTCCTCTAAAAAATCATTTAAAAACCTACGCTTTGGATCATCCAAAATTGGTTTAAAAATACTCGCCTTGAGTCCTCTAAATATTTTTCTAAAATTAGCAATCTACACCTTGAATCCTATAATTATTTTTCTAAAATTCATTTAAAACCCCCAACTCCACACCTTGAGAATCCTAATTATTTTGAAAATACACACCTCAAGATCCCTATTTTTTCTTCTAAAATTATTTAAAAAATCCACGCCTTGAGACTCGCAATTATTTTTTAAAAATTATTAAAATATCCACACCTGCAGATCCCTAATTATCCCTCTAAAATTATTTAAAAAATACACACCTCAAGATCCCTATTTATTCTTCTAAAATTATTTAAAAAATCCACGCCTTGAGACTCGTAATTATTTTTTAAAATTAATTAAAAAATCCACACCTCAAGATCACTAATTATGCTTTTAAAATTATTTTAAAAATCGGATTTGGTTAACCGAGTGGGTATACATTTTCAATTCCTTTGAATATATGCCAAATAAATCCTCATAAAGTAGGTTAACCCTGCAAAAAGTTCTAATGTAAATTCCGTATTATTTAAAAAAAAGTAGGTTAACCCGGTAAAAAGTTCTAATGTATATGTCGTTTAAGTCCTCTAAATATTCTTTTTAAATTTATATATAAACCCACGCATAGAGTCCTCTAAATATTGTTCTAAAATTAATTTAAAAATTAACGCCTTGAGTCCTTAAAATATTCTTCCAAAATTGAGATCGATCTCCATCCCCCACATTCCACTATAAACCTAGATTTTAAATGGCATAAACCTCCCTGATAGAACTATAACTACCTACGTTACGACATTACTACGTCCACACTTCACTAATCACGATTTTGCAATAACCCCCACAAATGTTTTTTTTTTTGGAACACCCTGTTGTCAACCGGTGCTCTCTGCAACTACATTGCTAAATAAAATCAACTGACAGCTGTCATTTGAAACGAAAAAAATTACCTTATTGGTGTTTGTACGGCTGTGTCGTGTGCGAAGGATTGTTGCTGTGAAATTTTGTGAGTTTTAGTTTTTTTTCTCTCCCCTCCAAAGGTAACAAATATTGTCAAGGTAAAACTTGCACAAATTGGCATACAACAATAATTAATAAAAAGGGAAATGCACTACAATTATGCTGGTATTTTGGCAACAGAACTACAACAAGCAACTGAAGACAGAAGAAAAACACACTACCAGAAATTTTGTGGCGAACCTAAGAAAAAAATTACATAACCCCAAGTGGAGAAGTGCAAAGAATTTTGTCGGATTTTTTTTTATTATTTAATAACATAAAACCAAGAGAAAATTACAACAAATATCCTTCAAAAATGTTCATATTCACCATATGTATATTTGTGCAAATTTTATTTTGTCTTTTGTCCTGATGATCAGTGTGTGTGTCGTCATATTAATTGTTGTTCCGCGAGTTGTTTTTGTAGAACCAAATTCTAATTGTTGTTGTTGTTTTCTTTCCATTACAGAATCGTAAAATACCACAAAATCCAAGATGCGTCTAACCAATGCTTTGAATGGCCAACATTTTGGTAACCTTGCCAAGGTCCATGGTATTGTCACATACAAAATTTCCCCCTTTGAGCAACGCGCTTTTGCTGGCGCCATCAGCCAGGGTGTACCTAACATTTTCCGTCGCATCCGCTCAAACATTTTCACTGTAGCTCCACGTAAGTCACAACTTTTCCCTTTGGGATGACACAAATTTTAATATTGAAATTAATTTTGTATTTTATGTTTAGCTTTCATTATTGGCTACTTGATCTACAACTTGGTTGAAGCTGAGCATCACCATTTGAGCCGCAAGAACCCAGCTGAATTCGCCAATGACGAATAAAAGATGTTATTATTGTAGAATTCATCTCCCCCGATAGTATAATTTACAAAATAAAATAAACAAAAATGAAAATTAACTGGCCAAAGGTTGGATAACAGAAAAAATAACATTTTTAATGGAAACTTCTATGTATGAGGTTTTTTGTATTTTTTTAAGAAGACTGGTAATTCATAGAAGGATAAGTTGCGGGTTTCTATGTTGAAGATCAACAGAGGAACTTGTGGTATTCTATAGAATTATACTTTATGATCTTCATCTAGGCCACCATAGAGGAACGCCATCTGCCTTTCTTTGGAGTAATTTCTGTTATTTAGAAGAATACCTCTTTTCCATTAGATTAAGAACTTTTGGGCAATTAAATTTATTTCGTATACAAGAATTTAGCCCATAGGGCCAGGAGTGATTCATAAAACAGGAAACTATATGAAAAAAACTCTTTGTCTTTAAACGAAGGAGACCTCTTAGTCTTCTATTGAAGAACACTTTATGGAGGTAGACTATTGGTCTTATGGAATAACATAATTAGATCTTTAAGTAATTAAGTCCTCTTGGTCTTCTGTAGAGGAATACCATTAAGTCTTCCATGGTAGAATACATTCTGCTCTACTATCAAGAAGACCTTGTCTACTATGGTAGAATACCTTCTAGTCTCCTGTGGAAAAATACGAATTGGTTTTCTATGGAAGAACGCCTTCTGGTAATCTAAGGAAAATGAACTTCTGGTCTTGTACAGAAGAAGAACTTGTCATCCGAGAATGGTGAACTTCTAGTTTTTTATAGAATCCGTTATGATCTTATGTGGAAGGAAACCTTCTAGTCTTCTATGGAAAGAACTTTTTGGCAATTCAATTTATTTCGTTCTACAAGTCATCTATAGCCAATTTCTTGTTTTTTTTACTGAGACAATAAGACCTTCATGTGACCCTCTCCGTTCTGATCTTATGTGGATGGAAACCTTCTAGTCTTCTATAGAGGTAAGATGGCTCGTTTGCCCAGGAAGAAAACCTTTTGATTTTCTAAAGAATAGCCTTATGGAATAACATAATTAGATCTTTAAGAAATTAAGTCCTCTTTGTCTTCTGTAGGGAAATACCTTTAAGTCTTCCATGGTAGAATACATTCTGCTCTACTATCAAGAAGACCTTCTTGTCTTCTATGGTAGAATACCTTTTGGTCTTCTGTGGAAAAATACAAATTGGTTTCTTCTAAGGAAAAAGAACCTCTAGACATCTATTGCCAATTTCTGGTATTTTTGCTGAGATAAGTGACCCTCCGCTCTTCTATAAATATGAGATGACTCTCTCATTTTCCCAGGAAGAACGACAAGATTTTCTAAAGAAGAAGAAGAAGATGATTTTCTCGTATAGAATAAGACTAATTCCAATCATCTGTAGAACATTGATCCTTACCTTAGAGTTTTTTGAGAAGACCTATAGGAATTCCAAAAAGTTTTTCTGATCATATCCCTGATCTCTCAAAGAAAACTACTTCCAGGCTATAAGAGAGAAAGACTTTTGGGTTTATATAGACGGATTCATTTTTAAAGAAGCATTCCAATCGTTGCTCTTAAATGCAAGGATTAAAAATACTTCCCAAAAAGTTTAACCTGGGGTTGGAGATGTTTACCATTGATCGGAGAGATACCTTTCCATCTTCGAACTTGATTTATTTTTATATAAAATAAAAAAATTATAAGGTTTGGATAGAATCGGTTACTGCCAGAGGGAAAGAAATTTTAAAATTTACTCCGAATAGTATGAAACTAATTTGGTCCAAAAACTCTTGGGTTCCAAATTTTAACCTGGGGGTGATGATGTTTTTCTGACCATCTCTCAATGAAATCTACTTCCAGTCTATAATAGAGAAAGACTTTTGGGCTTCTACAGATGGATTCATTTCTAAAGAAGCATTCCCATCTTTGCTTTAAAATGCTCTGATTGAAAAAGACATCCCATGATGTTTACCACTGGTCAGAGAGATACATTTCCACCTTTATTTATTTTTAGATAAAATACACAAATTTATAAGGGTTGGATAGAATCGGTTACTCTCAACGTGATAAACATTTGGTCCAAAAGCTCTTGGGTTTCAAAATATCACTTTCAATACCTTTAAAATTTGTATGGCCCAGGTTTCAACAAAAATGAAAATACTTGAGAATTTGCTGACAGGCTTGATCTTCCTTATTTATAGGTATTTATATTATACGCATCTCAAATCCACATTCGAATTAGTTCAATTTTCCATTTTTGTTCAATTATTCAAGTCGACGAAATGGATTCAGCGAAGTGAACTAGCTGAACTAAAGGTAATAGATAAACGAATGCGTTGTAACTAGTTCCGATCGTTCAGTTTGCAGAATTATTTCTTTGAACTAGTTCATTCGTGAATATTACATTACAAGAACAAGAAAAATGAAATGATATCATAACAAAGAACAAGAACATTTACAATAAAATACAAAAGGCCACATTTCAAAGGTAAATAATTAAAATTTAATTTGTTGTTGTTATTGATAATAATAATTTATATATTTCAGACAAATTCTTGCCTAGCCAAAAACAACCACCAGCATTTCTTCACAAAGGGACCCCCAAATTACAACACCACCACACCAACAACAACACCATGAACGATTGCTGTGGTAATGAAATGCGTAGCGAATCCATATCGAATATGCTCAATGTCATTGTGGAATCCAAAATAATCAGCATTGAAGTGTTCACCGCAGCTGTGGGTATACTCTTTATGGTCGTCATGTTGAAGAATAAATTCTGGAGTTTTTGTGGCACTTGATTGGATAGTAGAATTTAGTCGAAAAGTATTAAAATAGATAATGGTGATTCTTAAAAAACAAAACCATAAAACGAAATAATCTATTCCATTGAAATTGTCCCTCAACCCCCCAACAACACACATTTTCTTTAAGTTATTACCTTAAGAGTTACATTTATAAAAACAAGGAGTTTAATGGAGTTATGTTTAAAAATCCACAGCAACAAAACTATATATGTGTAAATAAAATTTAAATGATTTAATTAAATATCTCTAATTTATTAGTTTGATTTGGTCTATGGCCCACATGTCACATGATAATAGACAATCATCACGTCCATACTTGCGAATGACCTTCAATTGCTGATGATCACTTTGTAATACAAATGTATTCAAATGTTTTGTGTGGAGCAGGGGAATTTAATTTTTTCTATACAAAGGTTATTTGGTTTAGAAAAAATCGTTTAGTACTCGAGAATTCTATAAGAGACCTATTCAAAAAGAATATCTTCTGGTATTCTATAAGACGACCTTCTGGTTTTCTATATAGAGACATACTGGTTCTCTATATGAAGACCTCTTGGTCTTCAATATGAAAATTTCATGGTCTTCTAAAGGTAGAACTTCTGGCCTTTCATAAGAATATTTTCTGGTCGTCTATAAGAAGTCCTTGTGGTACTCTGTGAGAAGTCCTTCTGGTCTTCTATGAGAAGTCCTTCTGGTCTTCTATGAGAAGACCTTCTGGTCTTCTATGAGAAGACCTTCTGGTCTTCTATGAGAAGACCTTCTGGGCTTCTATGAGAAGACCTTCTGGTCTTCTATGAGAAGACCTTCTGGTCTTCTATGAGAAGACCTTCTGGTCTTCTATGAGAAGACCTTCTGGTCTTCTATGAGAAGACCTTCTGGTCTTCTATGAGAAGACATTCTCGTCATCTATGAGAAGACCTTCTGGTCTTCTATGAGATCTTCTTATCTTCTTATAAAAGACCAGAAGTTCTTCTTATAGAAGACCAAGAGGTCTTCTTATTAACAGACCAAAAGGTCTTCTCATAGAAGACCAAAAGAAGAACTTCTGGTCTTTTATAAGAAGATCTTCTGGTCTTCTATAAGAAGACCTATTGGTCTGGTATTCTATAAGAAGGCATTCTTCTATAAGAAAACCTTTTGGTCTTCTATAAGAAGACATTTTGGTATTTTATAAGAAGACCTTTTGGTCTTCTATAAGAAGACCTTATGGTCTGTTAATAAGAGGACCTCTTGGTCTTCTGTAGACCAAAAGGTCTTCTCATAGAAGACCAAAAGGTCTTCTCATAGAAGACCAAAAGGTCTTCTCATAGAAGACCAAAAGGTCTTCTCATAGAAGACCAAAAGGTCTTCTCATAGAAGACCAAAAGGTCTTCTCATTGAAGACCAAAAGGTCCGCTCATTGAAGACCAAAAGGTCTTCTCATTGAAGACCAAAAGGTCTTATTATAGAAGACCAGAAGGTCTTCTCATAGAAGACGAGAAGGTCTTCTCATAGAAGACCAGAAGGTCTTCTCATAGAAGACGAGAATGTCTTCTCATAGAAGACCAGAAGGTCTTCTCATAGAAGACGAGAAGGTCCGCTCATTGAAGACCTAAAGGTCTTCTCATTGAAGACCAAAAGGTCTTCTTATAGAAGACCAGAAGGTCTTCTTATAGAAAACCAAAACATCTTCTTATAGAAGACCAGAAGGTCTTCTCATAGAAGACGAGAAGGTCTTCTCATAGAAGACCAGAAGGTCTTCTCATAGAAGACGAGAATGTCTTCTCATAGAAGACCAGAAGGTCGAGAAAGTCTTCTCATAGAAGACGAGAAGGTCTTCTCATAGAAGACCAGAAGGTCTTCTATGAGAAGATGTTTTTGTTTTCTATAAGAAGATGTTTTGGTTTTCTATAAGAAGACCTTCGGGTCTTCTATAAGAAGACCTTCTGGTCTTCTATAAGAAGACTTTCTGGTCTTCTATAAGAAGACTTTCTGGTCTTCTATAAGAAGACTTTCTGGTCTTCTATAAGAAGACTTTCTGGTCTTCTATAAGAAGACTTTCTGGTCTTCTATAAGAAGACTTTCTGGTCTTCTATAAGAAGACCTTTTGGTCTTCTATAAGAAGACCTTTTGCTATTCTATAAGAAGACCTTTTGCTATTCTATAAGAAGACCTTTTGGTATTCTATAAGAAGACATTTTGGTCTGCTATAAGAAGACATTTTGGTCTTCTATAAGAAGACATTTTGGTCTTCTATAAGAAGACATTTTGGTCTTCTATAAGAAAACCTTGTGGTCTTCTATGAGAAAACCTTGTACTCTTCTATGAGAAGACCTTGTGGTCTTCTATGAGAATTCTTTTTGGCCCTCATTGAGAAGACTTTTGGTGTTCTATAAGAAGACATTTTGGTCTTCTATGAGAAGACCTTTTGGTCTTCTATAAGAATACCTTTTGTTATTCTATAAGGAGATCTTATAGTCTTCTATAAGAAAATCTTATTGTCTTCTCTGGTCTTCTATAGGAAGACCAGAAGGTCTTCTTACCTTCTGGTCGTCTTTAAGAAGACCTTCTGGTCTTTTATAAGAAGTTCTTCTGGTCTTCTATAAGAAGACTTTCTGGTCTTCTATAAGAAGACTTTCTGGTCTTCTATAAGAAGACCTTCTGGTCTTGTACAAGAAGACCGTCTTTTCTTTTACAAGAAGAACAAACGGTCCAAGAAAACCCAATATGTCTTTTAACAATGGAGTGTATTACGTTCTAAATTAAATTTGAATATCTCCACAATTAATGAAAATCATAGCCGAAAAATACTTAGAACGCCAAATTTATTCCCCCAATTCTGCACCCAAAACTGGAATTCATCTCACGTTCACGATTGACTGAAATAAGCGCGTTTTGACGATAATAGCAAAAGAAGTAAACAAAGTTTAAGAATGGAATACTTTTATATTTGGAAACGCAAATAAATATTCACATAGATTTGCATATATGTATATACATACATACATATGTATATTTATATATCAGTAATTTACATATGTTCTTAGGTTTTGTTCCAAAAAAACGAAAATGTATGTGTGTATTTTCAAAATGGGGTACACAACTACATGTCATATTATTTGAACGTGACCAAAATGCATTATTTTTTCAAAAAAAAAAAAAAAAAAAAAAAAGAAAAAACTGCTATTGAATTAATTTTTTTTAGAAATACACTTTCTTCATTCAAAAGGAATTTGAAAATTGATTTTGTTAATATTTGTCTGGTCGTCAAAAATGTGTGCTTGATAATACTCAATGCAATTTATATTCTATATATGCATATATATATATATATATAATATAATGATATAGAAAACAATAAATTGTAATTTAAAAAATATATAAATTCGATAACAGTATCTTAGCAATATTCTGCAACAAAACACAGTAGCGAAATATAAAAATATTGATATTTCATTAAATAATTTTTAGCTGTGTTATAAAAAAACATTTTTTTTCAAAATCAAGCTTCTGACCGAGCGCATACTTTAAAAAAATATGTTTCAAACCACAAAAATAAGCCATTGACTCTAATAATCATTAATAAAATATTTCTTTTTTTTTAATTCTCTAAACTTCAAATTATTGTCAATGAACTTAAATATTTTTTTTTTATTTTTTTGTTTTTAATAATATTGTTTACAATATTTATGTTTTAGAAGACTGCTTAACTTTCAATAATTTGATTTGTAAGTAATTGCAAAAAACTATTTCATTCGACACCTGAGTGATCGATTGTTTATTTCAAAAATTAATTTTTTGCTTACCATGTCTGTTGGTATTGAAATTGAAAACCGTAATGCAAACTAAGAAATTTTTAAAGGTCGATCATGACCTTTTTTGGTTGACAGTTAGTTAAGCATGTAATAAATAATTAAATTGGCTAAGAAGATTTAATTTTTAAATTTAAAAACGAAAATTAAAAAAAAAAAAACATTTAAAAACCAGAAAAATTAGCTCATACAGTAGGTAGTTGAAAAAATTGTCCATAGCAGCTATTAGAAAAAATATTTTCAAAAAAAGAAAAAAAAACACAGACCTAGGAAAAATAACTATAAATCAAGCTTTATAGTTTATAGTAGCTCCTATATAAAAACTAAAATCCAGACTTTTGTTTTCAATTAAAAAATCTACCTAATAAAATAAAAAAATCAACTTAAAATATATTTTTTACAATAATTTTTTGTTTCAATTTTTGTAAACGCTTAATAAGTGAACTTTGGATACCCTCCACCATAGATATACTGACAGGTACTTGAAATGAAAATATAGGGAACATACCAAAAAAATGGACCTATACCGATATTTCTACAATCCGATTATGTAAACAATAATTTTTAATAGAAAATTATACCCTCAGCCTTATGGCTAATTAGTGTGTATACACTTTCACACGGCGAAAATGTGCCTCATCGAAATATTGGTTCTAGACCCATGTTTCTTCGGGCCGAATCCGTTACAGAAAAATTTGATTTCATCCCATCTTATTATGTCTTCCAAACTTAGTTCAAGTCCGAATTTGGGAAATATCGGTCCATGCCTTCTGGTACCTCCCACACAAGGGGTATGGCTAAGCCTAAATGCGGGCTATAGTTCACATATAGTTCATTATCGAACAGCACGCTCTAGTTTTTTATCTCGATAACCTTCGCAGGTGAAATGATTACAACAGAGTGTTAGAACCAAACCCAAAACGCGGAAAAATCAGATAATTATATTAATATGATGGGGTTATATGGGGAATACGGCTACAAAATACCAAATTTCAGTGATTTCGGTTGAAAAACGCGCTCAAGAACCTCCAAATGTCGAAATTTGGGGGTACCTTTATATGGGGGCTACCAGAAAAAACTGGACTTATATTTATAATTTTTAGTGGAGATATTTGGTACCCAATAAGAACCCAATATACCAAATTTCAGCGAATTCGGTTGAAAAACGAGCTCAAGAACCGCAAAATACCGAAATTTGGGGGT